CATACATTCTCGTGTCTATTGATGGGAAGTGCCACCTGCTGGAAACTTGGTCCAGCGTCCCATGAACATTGTGAATAAAGCACCAACCGGGACCCCCCACACACACACTCTTCGAGTTGTGTATAGCGAACATGACAAAACATACATACAGCATAATCACTACCTTACCCTTCCCGAACCACATAAACAAACGAACTACGGGCTGCGCACCCGTGCCCTCACGGTAAGTCAATAAAGTGATCTAAAAATAAAATAAAATGTAGAGAATCAGTGGCTGCGAAGGAGTCCCATGAGTCCCAGTCTCAACTAAAAAGTCCCAAAGAAAGGCACCGCCGATAACTGTCGGAAAAGACCCTGGCCGACCATGATGTGACCAACCAAATAAACTGAAGTACAACAGTTGCTTTTCCTCGCATTCCCCCGAAACGACTGTGCAGTGTGGCTGCCAGAGGAGAGCCAGTGGGGCGCCCCCAAAAGACACGTTTTTGGGATTTTTGGATATTCATTTTGGAACACACAAATTTGGATATGCATTTGGCAGGTTTCCGAGCTCGATACATTCAAATGTTGGACGCATGTCGGAATGCACCTGGAGAGGAAAGCTTCCAATTGTGCATGTAGAGTGCTGTTTAACGGAGCGAGGCCCTATTTTCCTCTTTTTAGGGGGTCTTGCTTTTCGTTTGCCGTTTCCAACGGAGGAAGGGTCTCTAATAAGGGTCTCTCTCTTTTTCCTGGAACGAGTCCTAGCGCGGTTGATTGGCTCGGAGTGTTCGTGCTGTGCCGGCGGTTTTTACGTGTACAAGCTGTGGAGTGCCACGTGGCACAGTTATCAGGGTGGCGCTTGTATGCGCAGGAGTGGCCAGGGGCCTCGAAGACTGTGGGGCGGGGGCAGAGCGGGGAAAACGTCCGCGAGCGACAAGAGGGGAGCGATTGGAGAAGCCGGCAGCTCATGAGGGGGGGAATGGTGGGGTCGGGGCAGAGGCGGGGGGGGGGCTTGGAAAATGAGTGAGGGCGCCGAGGAGGCCTGAAAACGTGGTGGGGGTTAGGCCCAGGCCAGACCCCTGCTATTGGGCGAAAATAAGGCCAGGCTCGTGCTAACTTGCTAAGGCCCAGATCCCACTAGCCCCTATTGTTCATTTCTGACCGTTGATCTTCGTAATCGAGGGTGAAAAATGAATAATCCAGGGTAGTGGGATCTGCCCCTAAGTGAGCATGAAAACAGCATATCCGTGGGGCCTGTCCCTTGAACAACCTGTCCTGGCGGCTGCTGATGCTTGAGAACGGTCGGGAGTCCATCCATCCAGCGGTCTCGGAAAAATACCCCTCCGTGGGGGTCATAACCGACCTCAGGGAGTCGGGATAGAGGGGTTACAAACGGTGGGCTGGCGCGGTCAGCCCACGGTCTGTCCTCTACCGCGCTCTTCGGCTCCGCTGGGCGGGCGGAATCCACTCCTCTGGCACACGACCTCCCTGCCTAGGTAGCTGCGCTGGGGCCAGCCATTCTTTGAGGTTAACACAGTGCGCGTGCGCGCAACGTACTATCAGAAAGCATGTGCTACTGTGCTTAGGAAGACATTGAGGTGCCGCACACCTCGCTCACTCGCGTGTTGAGGTCTTGCGCTCAACACACACACACACACACACACACACACACACACACACCCAGAGAGACAGAGAGAGAGAGAGAGAGAGAGAGAGAGAGAGAGAGAGAGAGAGAGAGAGAAGAGTCGCCACGTCTCCGTGCTCCCAGAGACCCCCGGCAGTTGATGTAGAGCAAAATGCGTGGGAGTCGCTTTGCTCGCCCGCACCCAGCGCACGTGCGCGCAATCGACGCCCACCTCGCGCAGGAGCGAAACAAGACCTGGGCTTGTCTCGCGTAGAGTTCTTGGATGCTGCGCGGGCGTCGGCGTAGACGAAGCTATTCGTCGTGACGAATGTGGACGGCTTATCCGTCTCTGTTACGTTCACTTGCTCAAACACCCGCGCCAGCGCACGCGATTAAGTGCTGTTTTCTTTTCCTCCGTTTCCCCCCCCGCCCATTTCATGTTTTGCGCGGGAGCGCTCTTGTTAGTTATTTGCCCCATGCGTCTCCTGGCGTAGAGCTCCTGGCGTAACTGAACTGGCAAGACCGCGCCTTATTGCGCAAATCGGACCACACCGTCGATCTCGGCGGAATCAACGGTGTTTTGTCTGGGTGCGTGCATGTATGCGCGAGTCTGTGTGTGTGTATGTGTGTATGTGTGTGCGTGAGAGAGAGAGAGAGAGAGAGAGAGAGAGAGAGAGAGAGAGAGAGAGAGAGAGAGAGAGAGAGCGGCAAGAGCGACAGCGTGGCGGCAGCTGTCTGCAAGCGACATTGTCATTAGATTAGTCACGTGCCGACGACGCCAACTCTTCTATGCTCTCTCGGCGACGACGCCAACTCTTATATGCTCTCTCGGCGTCGTCGGCGGTCCCCAGGAGCATCGTCACGTGTATTTGCTCTTATCCTCTCCCTTCAAGCCACCATAGCCGTGCTAACGTGTCGTCATCGACAGTCTCATGATCGTCCATGGACTGAGAAGTCACGACCAGTAGTCAGCGAAGAAGAAAAAGAAAGAGAAGAAGAAGAAGAAGAAGAAGAAGAAGAAGAAGAAGAAGAAGAAGGGAAGAAAGAAGAGAAGGAAGGAGGCGAAGGAGAGTTGGTAAGATTTAATTCAGACCGTCCTGTCGATTGGGTGGCAATCGGAGGACAAACGCTGATGAGGAAGAGGATTCGAGGGAGAAGCAGACGGGAATGAATGTTGCTCAGTAGTCCCTCAAGGGAGGAGAGGAGGGGGGTGGGGAGGGGCGGGGGGCTTCACAGCAGAGCAAAGAGAAATTACGGGGGCTGCGAGACGCAAGAGGCCCATTTGTGCCGCCCCTCTCTTCCCAAGGCCGTACGATTTCGATCTTCTGGTCGGTAGAGCTGGCGCGGTTCGATTCATGGTTCGACTTTATGGCTTCCAGCAGTCCTGGACTTGGGGTCGGGTCCCTCGTTTCACAAGTTGCAGCTGCCGATATCTGGTCGTCCAAGAGTTTGAGTACGGACTTTGCGTATCCGACCTTACCAAACTTT